ATTGCTGTATGCAACTACCTACTTCCATTCAGTCTCTTTTCCCCCTCACTAACTGAGAAAAGATACTGCTAACAAAGACTTCCATAATTTAATACTGTATCTCAGATGTGATAAGGCAGCCATCTGATATCAGTGGTGACAGCCTACATTTTTAAAAGAGGAAATCCACATCTTTGCTGTAGCTTTTGATTCTAGCTTGTGACATATATTCCCAGTAGTGATATAAATAATAGCATAATGAACCATGGAGGAAAAATAAATATCATTTTTGTAGTCTTGTAATGTGCCATATATATATATATATATATATGCTTTCGTAGATTTTCACGGGTACAGGAATGCAGGTTTTGGTGTCCTCGGGTGTCTTCCCGTGTAAAAGTTGGGGTGTCTAGGCGACGTTTCGACGAGGTCTCACTCATCATCTTCAGGCTGGTGCTTTCGGCTTCTTGTTACTGGAACAGAGCAGGATCTCAGTGTTTGAGTTCCTATAAATACTGTTGAGGGGGTGTGGTGTATAGCCTCCAATGTTCTGGGCAGAGAGGAAGTTCCCAGGCTAGTGTGCCTTTTCTTCTTTTGTTCCTTAATTACTTGAGGGGTATCTTGAGTGATTTCTTGAGTGATATTCTGAGTACCACTTAGGTGGGTCATTAGGTGTGGATTAGTTGCTCAAGCCTTCGTGTCTTGACCTCTTGAACTTTGTGAAAAGTTTTTCTGAGAAGATGGCTGTACTGCACTTAGTTGTGCTCTGGCTTGGCTTCGGGTATAGGGGCGAGCTGTGGTTTTGTGCCCTGTGCCAGCCAGATCTGTGTAGGGATTGCAGGGGGGTGCAGCATCCGGAGGTGCCACCATGGTTTGGCTACTGGATGGTGTCTGTAATTTATCTGTGGAGAGGGTCTGGGTTTGGGTCTGGTGTGGTTGATTGGTGATGGCGTTCTGTGTGCCTCTGGATCTGGTGTCGGTTTTTGTGGGGAGGGCTAATTTCCAGATGTCTGGCAGGCGGGACGTGTCGTCACGCTTGTTCATGTTGTGAGGGTGTTTCTCTATCTCGATGGCTTCCATGATTATTCTCTTGTGGTGATGTTCCATGTAACATCACCATGGAACATCACCACAAGAGAATAATCATGGAAGCCATCGAGATAGAGAAACACCCTCACAACATGAACAAGCGTGACGACACGTCCCGCCTGCCAGACATCTGGAAATTAGCCCTCCCCACAAAAACCGACACCAGATCCAGAGGCACACAGAACGCCATCACCAATCAACCACACCAGACCCAAACCCAGACCCTCTCCACAGATAAATTACAGACACCATCCAGTAGCCAAACCATGGTGGCACCTCCGGATGCTGCACCCCCCTGCAATCCCTACACAGATCTGGCTGGCACAGGGCACAAAACCACAGCTCGCCCCTATACCCGAAGCCAAGCCAGAGCACAACTAAGTGCAGTACAGCCATCTTCTCAGAAAAACTTTTCACAAAGTTCAAGAGGTCAAGACACGAAGGCTTGAGCAACTAATCCACACCTAATGACCCACCTAAGTGGTACTCAGAATATCACTCAAGAAATCACTCAAGATACCCCTCAAGTAATTAAGGAACAAAAGAAGAAAAGGCACACTAGCCTGGGAACTTCCTCTCTGCCCAGAACATTGGAGGCTATACACCACACCCCCTCAACAGTATTTATAGGAACTCAAACACTGAGATCCTGCTCTGTTCCAGTAACAAGAAGCCGAAAGCACCAGCCTGAAGATGACGAGTGAGACCTCGTCGAAACGTCGCCTAGACACCCCAACTTTTACACGGGAAGACACCCGAGGACACCAAAACCTGCATTCCTGTACCCGTGAAAATCTACGAAAGCAAATATATATATATATATATATATATATATATATATATATATATATATATATCTTCCTCAGATGTCAAGTTGGTCATTTTCCCAAGTGTAGAAAAGTTTTAGGAAAAATGATAGAAAGTGAGGGTAGTAAGAAAGAGTAATGGAAATGTCAGAACACTTGACTATTGCCTTGATCTACCTAAAGTTAGTGATGACTGAGGTTGCAATCCTTACCTCTTCAACTGCAGGGCTTTGCAGAACCACCACTGCATCCACAGCCCATCTGCTCATGGTGGCCACAGCAGAAGATGATGGTGGCAGGATGATCAAGCTCATCACTGCACCAGCTGCTGGTTGGCGTAGCAATGGAGTCTGGATTAAGCCTGATGCTGTCCTGTGATGACTGTGAGACTGGCTGGGGATCCTAGAATGGCTCAGCCCCTCCACACCTTTGAAACACCCCATTTTGGGGCTATCCTTTGAGCTCCACCGGTACAAGTCCCACCACTGAATTTCCTGGTTCTAGTTGGCAGTAACTGCTGAACTTGAAGTCAAGTTCAAACCTAGATTTCTTAGCTTGTGTTTGATCCTGATAGGCTGAGGAGAGTGAAGTCTTCATTTCACTCTTTCCCAGCCAACATTCCATATACAAATTTCTGCTTTTGTCAATTTGTTTGCAGTGCAATAATTCCACTGGATCCCTCCCCTGCAACACACACATATTGGAGTGAAATTTGGTACACATGTTTGGGGCCCAGTTCTAATACCATCTTGGTCTCCATACACATTTTTAAAGAGGAGGAAAAAAATGCAAAATACAGGACAATGCAATATCTGTTGTTTCAAATATGAACATTTAACACAACATAATGCACTAGCTCCCTTGAAGATTAAGAAAGGAACTGGAAAGTTAGTGTTGTGTGTTCAGGTCAACATTCTGCACTGTAAGAACCTCTTCTCAATCAGCAAATGGTTTAATGGTGGAAGAGCCAAGCAACATCTGAAATGCAGCCTTTCAAATCCTGTTCTTTGCTAATTTTAAAATTAAATCCCTACAGTCTGGAAAAAATATATAAATAAAGTTCAGGTAGTTTGTAATTGCACAGAGAAGTTTGCTACATAGGTAGAGAAAAAGAGAACCAGTAGCACTGGTTGTGTGCAAGTTCATGCACAAGATATTGGCATCTGCTTATAGAGCGATACACCAAGAACTCTGGCCACAAGTTTCAATGTAAGGATTAATTACTACTCAAGGGTTGAAAAGAAAAAAACGTGTATATTCTGCAAAGAATGACAGTTTAAAGCTAATAGTAAATTTAAACACAATGTGTGAGTACAATGGTTTTAAGATAATAATAAATTTAGATATTAGTATGCAATAATATAGTATAAAGGTACATAAAATACCAGTACACAACAATAGTTTTATACAAGTCTCAATGGTAGTCAAAAAGAGTCCATATTATATAAACTCAGAATAAAGAATAAAGAGCCAAAAAGGAGTATCCGGAGTATGAATCAGATGTACGACTCAGTAGTGGTGACCAGGACAGGGCCCTGTTTCGGAGTAAACGCCTTCTTCAGCTGGTAATATCAAGTAATATGTCAAAATAATGAACATCAAGACTACAATTCTTTTCTTTAAAAAACCATTATAGATGACCTTGGATTTTAAATCTCTTCTCTGTTTACACCTTTAAGAAGGGAGAGCCTATCCTCCTCCTCCTCCCCCACAGATACATATATAAGACAATGATCTCACTCCCTAATAGAAAACGCACAGAGAAACGCAAGAAAACTTGGATTCAATTATCTAAGGTGAGAAAACACTCATCTGATGTCCGTTTTTAAAAACAATTTGACTGGAAATAATAACTCTTGTAAATTCTTATTTCTAGACGCATGTTGAAAAAGAAACATAAAAGAACTATATGATATGATATAGACTTCCAACAGATTTATAGTCCTCAAAAAACCGAGGTATGGAACCAAATATCATGATATGTGCTAATTCACTTTAGAATGTATATACTTTATTATATTTATGATCTATGGAATTGTAGAACCTTGATTTATTTTGACATATTACTTGATATTACCAGCTGAAGAAGGCGTTTACTCCGAAACAGGGCCCTGTCCTGGTCACCACTACTGAGTCGTACATCTGATTCATACTCCGGATACTCCTTTTTGGCTCTTTATTCTTTATTCTGAGTTTATATAATATGGACTCTTTTTGACTACCATTGAGACGTGTATAAAACTATTGTTGTGTACTGGTATTTTATGTACCTTTATTATATTATTATATTATTGCATACTAATATCTAAATTTATTATTATCTTAAAACCATTGTACTCACACGTTGTGTTTAAATTTACTATTAGCTTTAAACTGTCATTCTTTGCAGAATATACACGTTTTTTTCTTTTCAACCCTTGAGTAGTAATTAATCCTTACATTGAAACTTGTGGCCAGAGTTCTTGGTTTATCCTTTTCAGTGCATTTTCCACAAGAACTCCAATTTCTTAACGATTACCATGGCCAAATGGGCTGAGACCTTTTCGTATTCTGCTGATGAGAAAGAGAAGATATTTGGTTCCTTACCTTCCCTTACAAATGAGACTCCTACTAAACCTAACAATGATTGGAACACTTATATAAACATTTTAAAAAGGCAAACTAGATATAACCTACACGCTAGACTCATGGCCGATTATACTAAAGTCCAGAGGATACCCAGAGGATTACGCATTCAAAAAGCTCCAACTTTATTTTCCAATAATGAAGAATTTAAAATTAAATGGATGTCTATTCTAAATAGATGTTCTTTTGACCTGATGACTTTAATCACAGAATTTGCAATTAAAGAGACTGAACGTCTGGATAAAGAAGTCAGTGGAATCACTGAGGAATTACATAAACAATTCGATTTGGAGACATTTGAATCTAAATTTAAACAATTACAAACTGAACTTAAGAATTATTCGGACAATATAAAAATTGAGAAATTACGGAAGTTTGAACGCGATCGCAGGGATTACGAATCAGATCACATTTTCCCATGGATGCAGAAATCCATGAACAGGAGTACTCAATCTAGATCAACAACCGGATTTTCATCCAGCAGTGCTGAATCTTCCGAACAAAGTGATTCACAGGAACAAATTCCACATCGACTGACAAGACAACCCAGACAATCAAGACAATATGATTTACGTCCACATACCATTGATCATTCTAAACAACAGGGTTTTCCCAAGCACCGCAATCAACAACGACGTCTTTAGTTGTAAATTTATCCAAACGCATTCTAACCCATGAGGAAGAGAGAATTCTAAATCTTGGACTGGGATTTGTTCCCACACCTAAATATAATGCGTTTCAGACAAGGGTGGATATCTTCAAACTTGTACGTCTTGTTAAATTAAGGTGCCATTTTGGCAATTTTCAGACTACACCATCGCTATTCCGTGTTCATTCATCATTTAACCCGCACGTAGATAATGCCCGCTTGAATGCATTCTATCAGGTTCTACTAGAAGACATCAATAAAATAGAAAAGAGAAGACCACCTCCACACAAAAGGAATTTTACCGCAAAGGATAGAGAAATCATTGCTAGCCTTCAATCGGACGAGAATATCGTGATAAAACCAGCAGATAAGGGCGGAGCCATAGTTATTATGAATACTCAGGGTTATACCGCAGAGGTAAATAGACAATTGCAAAATAGCAATTTTTATAAACCACTGCCCAAGGACCCTACCGACGATGTATCCAGAATAATCAGGACCACCTTATCAGAAGGCATATCTTTTGGATACCTCGACAAAAAAACAACTGAATTTTTATTCAACAAATATCCACGTACCCCAGTATTTTACATACTTCCAAAAATTCACAAATCACTCAATGCTCCACCAGGTAGACCGATTGTCTCAGGTAATGACTCTCTTTTGGAACCCCTTTGTCAGTATATGGAATATTATCTGCATCCATTCGCTATCGACACTCCGTCTTATATTTTGGATACGAAAACATTTATTGGACACGTCGAGAATACCACTATACCAAAGGAGGCCTCCCTTGTCACCCTGGATGTCGAGTCTCTGTATACAAATGTCCCGTTACCTGAAGTCAGGACGATTATAGAAACACTTTTGGATTCCAGACCCACGAGAGAACCTCCAACACATTTTTTGCTCGACATTCTGGATATCATTTTGGATTATAACTTTTTTCGTTACTTAAAACAGTTCTATCTGCAAATTAAAGGCGTAGCAATGGGCTCTTCCTGTGCCCCTTCTATTGCGAATATTTATATGATACACTTTGAAAAAACTTTCATCCTTCATGACAACAATCCTTTCAGATCTAAAATAATCAAGTATTATCGGTTTATAGATGATTTATTCTTTGTCATACAGGATCAAGACACAGCAACACAATTTCTCCAATGGATCAATGACCAAGATCCAAATATACGACTGTCTGGTACCATTCATGATACATCAGTTAATTTTCTGGATGTCACAGTCTTTAAAGATCACTCTCAACAACTTAAGATCCGCCCATACCATAAACCAACCGATCGAAATTCATTATTACACGCTTCATCCTTTCACGCTCCACATTTATTGAATAACTTACCGTATGGACAGTACTTAAGACTAAAAAGAAATGCATCGTTCCAACATGACTATAAAATAGCGGCCTATCAACTCACACAGTCCTTATTACAACGAGGATACACATCACGGACTCTTACTGCAGCTCAAGATAGAGCGGAAGTGAAAAACAGGAAAGACCTTCTTGCTATAAAAACCTCGGATAAACCCAGAGAAGATCGTATTTGCACATCACTGCAATTTACACCACATACTTCTAGCATTAAGAAACTCATATATAAACATTGGCATTTGCTATCCAACATCCCAGGATGTCAAAAACCACCTATAATTGGTCTAAAAAGAACAAAATCACTGAGGAATTATTTGGTGAAATCGGACCAACTTACATACCCGGAAGCATCAACTAAAGGCCACTACAAATGTGGTAGTTGCAATGTATGCAAATACGCACTACAAGTAAAGGAGTTCACCAACATACAGACCGGCTTCAAGTTTCAGATTGAACACTTTAGTAACTGTAACACGAAGAATAGCGTGTATGCATGGATGTGTCCATGCCACAAGATATACATAGGCAAAAGCACCAGACCAATCAAACTACGCATAAATGAACATCGATCACGGATCCGCAACAGAGTGCTAGAAGCCCCAATGGTGGAACATTATATACAGCAAAAACACACGGAGGATGATTTTGTTTTCTTCATTATCTGGAAACCAAAAGTAGATTTATATACCAGGAGAAATATTGATAGACTATTGTTACAACAGGAAGCACGATATATTCATCTGTTTGAAACGATGTCCCCCAAGGGCTTGAATGAACATCAAGACTACAATTCTTTTCTTTAAAAAACCATTATAGATGACCTTGGATTTTAAATCTCTTCTCTGTTTACACCTTTAAGAAGGGAGAGCCTATCCTCCTCCTCCTCCCCCACAGACACATATATAAGACAATGATCTCACTCCCTAATAGAAAACGCACAGAGAAACGCAAGAAAACTTGGATTCAATTATCTAAGGTGAGAAAACACTCATCTGATGTCCCTTTTTAAAAACAATTTGACTGGAAATAATAACTCTTGTAAATTCTTATTTCTAGACGCATGTTGAAAAAGAAACATAAAAGAACTATATGATATGATATAGACTTCCAACAGATTTATAGTCCTCAAAAAACCGAGGTATGGAACCAAATATCATGATATGTGCTAATTCACTTTAGAATGTATATACTTTATTATATTTATGATCTATGGAATTGAAGAACCTTGATTTATTTTGACATATTACTTGATATTACCAGCTGAAGAAGGCGTTTACTCCGAAACAGGGCCCTGTCCTGGTCACCACTACTGAGTCGTACATCTGATTCATACTCCGGATACTCCTTTTTGGCTCTTTATTCTTTATTCTGAGTTTATATAATATGGACTCTTTTTGACTACCATTGAGACTTGTATAAAACTATTGTTGTGTACTGGTATTTTATGTACCTTTATACTATATTATTGCATACTAATATCTAAATTTATTATTATCTTAAAACCATTGTACTCACACGTTGTGTTTAAATTTACTATTAGCTTTAAACTGTCATTATTTGCAGAATATACACGTTTTTTTCTTTTCAACCCTTGAGTAGTAATTAATCCTTACATTGAAACTTGTGGCCAGAGTTCTTGGTTTATCCTTTTCAGTGCATTTTCCACAAGAACTCCAATTTCTTATAGAGCGATACAAGCATAAGCTTCTGCTGCCAGGCTTAATGGATTGCCACATGCCCACACAGTTATACTTCAGGCTGCAATATTATGTTCACTTACCAGGGTGTAAGTGCCACTGACCTCAGTGCTTTTGAGTAAACATGGTTAGAGGATTTCACTGTTGATTCCACTGATTTCAGTAAACGGGGGTTTTTTGGGGTTTTTTTTTTTTTAAACAGACCTTTCTATGAGTCAGTCATTACATGTAGGCTGAAATCCTAAACAAACTTAGGCACAATGAACTCGATGATCCCATGAGTCATGACTCGTAGGCTGTAGTCCCAAGCACACACTGAACTCAGTGGAATTTACTTTTAAGTATTATTATTTTTTGAATAATTGGGGCTGTAAAACACAGATCACTCCTCTGAGTAGATCACATAGCCAGAATAGAAAGGGCTATATGAAAGGGCTAAAATGTAGCAATAATAATCCCCCTACCCTTAAGCTGTATGATGTTAGATGCCTCTCCTGATGAGACTTTGCAGAAGTGCTAATAAAAGCATACAGACCATGTCCCATAAAACTTTAAATATGATGGAATATTCCACTGAATTAGAGACATTTTCCTTTCATGCATGCAGACCTAACTTTCCATGGGTAATGTATGCTCAGAGAGACATGTGACTGGCAAACCATGGATGTAATCATTAGCAATTCCCAATGTGAGAGTTTGTGTGGAGAAGACTGGTGTGGAGGGAAAAATGTATAGTGTGTAAACTTGTACTCAGATTTTGGTAATTTGGAACTCAGGACATCACGTGGACTCAACTGTGCATTCCTTTTCTTGTGTACATTGATTTCCCATGTCAGTAGCCAAGAATATAAGCAAAAGCAAAATATATGCTGGATCTCATACCAAAGGCCTGTCTATTCCAGCAGCTTACCGGTATTTTCCATTGTGGTCAACCATATGTTTTTGGGAAGCCCTCAAAGCAGGTCATTTTTCACTGTTGTTCCCCAGCAACTGGTGTTCAGAGCCATGGTGTCCCTGTCCCTGGAATCAGCAGATAGCTGTCACGGCCAGTTGCCATTAATAGCCTTAGCCTTAGTGGATTTGTCCCTGTTTAAAGTCATCTGAGTTGGCTGCTATCACCCACTGTTTGGAAGTGAATTCCATACCTTAACTATGTGCAGTTTGAATCAAGGAAATGGTACTGGAAATGGGGGTGGGACTAAGCCACTGTCTCCTAGCAATGAACACCCAGTCTAACTGCTCCCCCCCCACCTAAAAAAAACCCCTCACAGGAGATCTGATTAGGGAATTGCCTGATATACCTGATTTGGCTCTGTTTCACTGAATTGTGCATAATTATATTACGAGTATGACCATTGGTTTTGCAGTGATTGAATGTAGAAATTCAAGTGATTTTTTAAAAAATGGCAGAAATAGGAAGTACTTATTTTTTTAAAAAAAATAGATGAAAAGAATATTTTATTTTCAAATTTTATAATCACAATAGTTCATGAATTCAATGTTTTTCCAATCAAGAACAAAAAACAAACGAACAACGGAAACTTCCCCCCTCCCCTCCCCTGGATTCCAATCTTTTCCCACAAAATTTCTTGAATCTCATTTTATCTCAAAATTCTTTGTTTTCCCCTCTTGTTTATCTTAATTTCCAATTATTAGATTACATAAATGTTATATCAAACCTGCTAACGCTTTAATATATTTACAGTGGTCTTTTATAATCTATAAATCTCTTCCATTCCTGCTCAAACTTTTTCTCATGCTGATCTCTGATCTTTGCCATTTCGGCATAGTCCATCATCTTAATTATCCATTCTTCTTTTGTTGGTATCTTCTCCTGTTTCCAATTCAGGGTCAGGTAACATCCTTGTGGCTGTTGTCGCATACATAAATAACCTTTTTAGGTCCCTAGGTTTTCCAGCCCCTGTTAGTCCAAGTAAAAAGGCTTCTGGTTTTTTTAGGGAAAGTTATCTTAAACATCTTTTTCAATTCATTATATATAATTTCCCAGAAGTCTTTTACTTTTCTGCAGGACCACCACATGTGGTAAAAAGTATCTTCCTTTTCCTTACATTTCCAACACACATTAGCTTTTCATCTAAAATTTAAGGCTATCTTGAAAGTCATATACTTTAAAGGTCGGGTGTAAATGTTGTAAATAAGCAAATTTGCCTTATTTATCAGAATAGTACCATCAGCATAAAAATATGTTAGGCGTTTCAATATAAATGAGAGTTTCATTTATTTATTGGTCCTGCTTAGGTTCCTTGCTATAGCAAACCTGTTTCCTGTTCCACAGCTTGCTTAAGTATGTCAGACAGAAAGTGTGATATGGTCACTGGAAAAAGAGGACAGTGTTGTTGTTTTTTAAAAATACAAAACCAGTATATTCTGTTGCTGCTCTTATATGGAGGAAGCACAGGGAAAATTATTCTTGACATGCCTACTGGAAAATAAGGTATCCAAACTGAGAGGGGGGAAATGAGAAGAATTTGTCCTCCGGAAGAGATGTGCACCAACATCCCATATTGCATCCTTTTCTGGAATTTTATTATAATATTTATTCTTCCTTCATAGTGTCCAGCTAAGTGCTGTGCAACTTAAAACTGACCTGGCAGAGCTAGCTTTACTGAGATATCCAGATGCAGACTCTACACGTGGAGCATTGTTGCTGACCTTCTTAAAAGAATATCAAATGTCTCACCTAATAAAGTACTTTTTTCTTCTTCTGGTGGTGCCAGCATTTCCTTGAACAAAGAGCTGCAGGATATTGTTACTGACTTTCTGTCCAGCAATTTTGTGCTTCTCTCCCTGTTAAGGACCTAAAGAGGAATCTTCTTCACACTGTGTACTTTGTATAAAAGCCAGATACATTAACACCATTTTAAGGCTTAAAAAAACAAACAAAAAACCCCTCATCTTATCTTCATTGTCTTCTATTCATATGGCCCATCTTAGCACACCACTATTGGCTGTGTTTTAGGATCCCACTTAGATGCTGTCTGAGATAGCCCAAGGAGAATTCCTCAAGTGCCTTATGGAGGCATTTCTACCACAAATTTTACAAGCAAGGAATTCATTTAGAGAATGAAGGCCCTCTACATCTTCATTAAATTAGTTAGTATTGTGTACGGCTTTCCTACATTTTGTTGCAAGAATTATAGGCACTAATCAGTAACTGGTCTCTGTGGCACCATGTGATCTTTACTTGCACAGGTCAAGCTTGGGCAGGTGGTGGTGGTGACCCTTTGTTTTGGCCGGGGGGGGGGGGTGTAACTGTGGCTCTTCAGATGCCACCAGACTATAACACCCATCATCCCTTACCACTGACCATGCTGGCTGGGACTGATGGAAGTTGGAATTCAAAATCAGGAGTGGCCACAGGCTCCTGCCAACCTCTGCTTTAGGTTGAAAACTGAAAGGGATTACCAGCCATTTTTTAGCTAGATCTTTTCTGTCTTGTCAGACATTTTGGACCACATGGTGAATGGAGCTCTTATGTCTAATGCTTGATCTGTGTGGTTGGCTGTTGTTTGTTTGCTTATTTGTTTAATGTGGACATTTCTGTCACTGGCCTGTTATAACTTATTTTCTTGACAATATTCATCGGTTTCCAAAGGATAGTAGTGAACAACGTACCATTTTCAAAACAAGTTCTGATAGCAGTAGCAAAAACATCAAGACTGCAGTTCTAACCCCACATTTACTTAGGAGTAAGTATATTGAATTCACTGGGACTTGTACGAATATTGATTATTTGAGTAGCCGAAGCCATTACAAGAAATAAAATACAATCAATTAAACAGTTGAAATAATGTTTTAAACCAGGCATTCTGCAATGGGACTTGCTTTCGAGGAGAGATAGTTAGGCTTGCACTGCAGGTTTGTACATTCAGTGACCATGAAGCTACTGAAATGCCTTTGGCAAATCCATTAATGCTCCTTATTTCTCTGGAAAAATGAGACCAATAATGCCATATACATACAACTACAAACAGCTGTTGCAAAGATGAATTAAGTATGGATTGTGGCATGTTCTGTATACTAATTAAGATATGAATGAAAATTTGCTACAGATAATTGGTAATAATAAGTTTGGTCACCAAAGAGATATTTTTGGCAGCCTTCTGCACCAGTGTTGCCACAGTTTCTACAGTGGGGATGGGCAACTCTTTGAGGTGAGGGGACCAGAACTGTACACGGTATTCCAAATGCAGTCATGTAATAGACTTGTATGGTATTGTGATATTGGCAGTTTTATTTTCTATTTCCTAATCATCCGTAGCATGGAATTTGCCTTTTTCACAGCTGCTGCCTCATACTGGCTTGATGTCTTCCTTGAGCTATTTACCACAACAACCCCAAATTCTTGTTCTTGATCTGTCACCTCCAGTTCAGACTCCATGAATGTAGATGTGAAATTCAGATCCCCCACCCCCCACAACAATCATAGTTTTGCACTGCATTCCATTTGCCATTTTACTACCCATTCACAAAATTTGGAGAGGTCGTTTTGAAGCTTTTTGCAATCTCTTTGTATTTTAACAACTGAATGCTTTAGTATTGTCAGCAAGCTTGGCCCGCTCAAGTCCTAAACGCTTAATCCAGTTGCAACGGGTTTTACATCTGAACTGCTTTTAAAGTACACT